AAATTAAAGGTATCTTATATTTTTAGATATATTATTATAAAACATGCTTTAGTTAAGGAGTTATTGATACTTCAAGTGCAAAATGATGATATAAAACCTTGATAAAAATGCATCTTTAAGTACTAATCATCTATCTTGCAACCTAGACACTATTCAGTGTTAAGTCCGTATCTTGAGTTCTAGAAGTCTAAATGATCTCAATTGTTTTTTCTGGAAAGCTGAGATAATTTCCTAGAACTTTCATGTGGAAGGTTGATTCAAATTCTAAAGTTATCAATGACGTTTTATTCAGACAAGAAGATAAGGATTGTCACTAATTCAAGATGTGGTCACCCATTCAATAATTAGTCATTAAATCAATAGGTCCAAATTTTGGCTAATAAAAGAAGACATTTGTCGTGCATTTAGGCATCTTGGTTTCTAGATCAAGATTATGCTCTTGTTTTCTCTTTTTGTATTTTTGTAATGTTTAAGTTTTGCTTTTATTAATATCTTGTTTATACTTTTCATTTCCTTTCCTTTATTTAATTAACTTTTATCTTATTTATATTCTTATATTGTTTATTTATGTTTCTCTTATTCATTATGTTTAGCTAAGTGTATTATGTCAAGGTAAAAAGGTTACACTAATAGTGTAAGAATAAGTATAGTGTAAACTCAAGATGAACTTTAATGTTTGATACTAATATGTTTTGTATTTATTATCTTGTTCACTTTTAATACTTTGCTTGTTAAATAGTTAATCTAAATTTACATTGTATAACACTTGGTATAACAAATACTTGACACTTTCATAGTCCAATCATACGGTATAACCTACACCTATGTTATGAAAGGAACTTGATTTGTTGTCAACATAAGTTATAATCATGAAATCATGACAACATTTACAAGTATTAGCATTATTCGAATAAGATAACTAATGTAATTATGTTAACATTTTATAATCTGATTGGAACTTGCTTTGTATGTAGTTTCTAGTTGAATAATAAGAGTTTATACTATACTTGTTTGAAATACTATTAATGAATCCTCTAACTTTGACCTTTGTTTTTATCATTGTTTAATTCTCACATCGATCTTCTATCTCGAGGTTTTCATCAATTTGTTCTTCTTCTTCTTTATTATTATTACTATTATTGTTATTACTACTGTTATTGTTGTTATTCTTGTTGTAGTATTATTGTTGTTACTACTTTTTTTTAAAATATATTTTATATTAAAATTTTAATATAATAATTTAATAAGTTTTTCTTTTGAATTATTGCTTCTACATCTTTTTCTACTATAATTTAAACTATTAATTGATTAAGTAAGTAACTTAATATTTTGAATTATGCTTTATACTTAATATTTTAGGTGAGTTTCATTCATTTTTTTCTATTTATTTCATTGTTTAATTTTAGTTTTGTTTCTTAATAATATAATAATTTATGGGTCTGTTAAATTAATATGTTTATGTATAATATTATATGTATATGAATATAAATTGAAATGAGTTTTGATGAAATAATATGTATTTTGTTATGAAATTTATATGAAAAATAATGGTGATTAATATACTAGTGGTTACAAATATAGTACTAAACAACTAAAAAAATTAGGGATACAATAATATATTTATATTTATATTTATATTTAACTTACTTGTGCACAACAATAAATTAACAAAGAATTGTTACCAATAATTTCACTGGTCTCTATAAGATTTAGAAATAGATAAATAAAAGATTCATTGTATATATTGAGAAAGAATATCTTTAATGAAATTAATAATGAGTTATTGTTAAGTAATTTTAAAATATGAAAAATTGAAAAAAATAATTATAATATGTTTTTTTATTTTAAAAATATTCTTAAATTAATTTTACTTGATATGAGTTAGTACATGAATTTCAAATTGATTTCTCTATATAAAACACATGTCTATATAATATATAATATTAAGTATTTATAATTTGAAATTTGACTCATTTAAAATTTTCTGGCTCCTGTATTTAGGAGAAGACATAAATCTTTTAATCGTATCATAGTTTAAATCGGTTTGTAGCATATCAATCTACCACATTATCAATTCAATATATATATATATATAAACAAACACTACATCAATGTGGTTTTTTGTTTTTTTGTTTTTTTAAAAAGAAACAAATCAAACCAATCTGTGGCCTGGTCAAGCAAGTTAGAAATGCACCTATAAGGTTGGCTGAGCTAGATTAGGTCAGCCTCTACCTTATTTACTTTGAAAGCTAGCCTGACTTTCAGGCTAGGAGGCTAGGTCGACAAGTCAAATGTAAACTCGCATGGTGAAATTAGGTTAAATAACATTTTTGAAAGGTTCCTCGCAATACCCCCACATGGGTCACCAACTTGTGACAACTAAATAAAAAGATCCTGTGAGATATTTCTGTGAATTGATCACAAAACAAATCCAAGGCAAATTTTATTTAAATTTATAATTTAGAAAACATAATATGAAGTTGAAAATTCATAAACAAAAGGAATTCCATGAAAGGCATATTCAAAAAAAATGTTTTTCAAATTGTGATGGTAAGGACAACAAAAAAAGCAAGGCTATTAAATTATATAATTAGAGTTTAAATCACTTGATAGAAAGAGGATTTTCTTCTAAGAGATCTACAATGATAATAGAAAGAAAATGGTAAAAATAAAAAGGGTTATTAATATAAACCAAATAGAGATTAAACGAGTTAATTATGGTCTCCAAGCAGCAACTGAAGGTAATTATTTTTAGAAAACCTCAATGCATGGATTGATATACAATTTGAAAAAAAATCAAGTAATTATACAAACAAAATATAATCTTTAATTATTCAAAATATTTGAATTCAGGGTTTGATATTGTGGTAATTGATTTCTTCCATTATTATTATTTATTTGATTTCAACCCCATTTCAATGTTACGGGCAAAAGGAATGATGCAGTTTCATGTATTTCGAAAAGATAAGGAAGAAATAAAGACAAACTAGTGCTGCAAAATAACTTGGAGGTTATCAATTAGTATCTGCAGCGTGTTAGCCTCGCCTTGCCAAATTATCCTTGACTTAGGATTGGGTCAATCTATTTATGTCCTCGCTAAAACTCTCTTTTCGATTTGGTGTCTCGGCAAAATTAATGCGAATACACGATAAATTGGGGCAGAAGGCATCAAACTTCTTTATGCATGGAGATAATATAATTTTGATAGTAACTAATTAAAATATATATTATCAAGAAGTGATCAGGAACTAGTGACTACATATATAAATATCAAAGAAATTGAGTTCCAAGTTTCGAAACTTAAGAACAAAACTGTTGATCCCTATATTCCTCCTTCAAGTTATTTTAAAAATGCATCGAAGGGTCAAGGTACAAACTCTAAAATTGCATAATAAGCGATTAAGATCGGAAGTGCTGCCAGCATACCGAAGATTACACTGCAATAAAAAGACGAGAAAATAAATGAACTGAAGTTTTGCGATATTAATTTGAGCATCATGTCTATGCTCTCTTTTTTTGTCTTTTTTTTTTTTGGTATTAATGGAGTTTAGAAAATTAAACGGTGTGCATATATATATATAAGTTGCAAAATGAATTAATCAACTTACGCTGTGCTTAGCACCTCTGCATGTAATCCGTATTCCTTTAAATATATATATATATATATATATATATATATAAGTTGCAAAATGAATTAATCAACTTACGCTGTGCTTAGCACCTCTGCATGTAATCCGTATTCCTTAGCAAAGATGAAGGATGTAATTGATTGTGGCAATGCTGCCTGCAAAATGAAAGCGAATGAATCAACAATTTTATTTTATTTTTTGGTGTCCTTTTGTGTGAAGACTGATTCAAATATTATTTTTGGGATTATTTTCCTTGATGGAAAAAATTGTAGAATTTCATTAAATATTTCCAATATAAATTTTAATCAAATTTGGGATGCGACTATGCGCGTCTATTTTACCTGAATGATAGCAACTCGTAAAACATCGCCTTGCAAACCCACAGCGATCGAGCCAATAGCCATAGCTGCGGGTCCAGCTATAAACCTTAAAATCATCCCAATAACAGTTAGACTTGCACCGCAGGAAATCACTTTTTCTTGCAAAGCCATGAAGATCCCTGCATGTGTGTACGGTAATTTCCTACTTAGATGAAGTGTGTGTGTATATATATATATATATAACCTGCTACCAACAAATGAAAGCTATCCGAGGCCATTGGGTATAAATTGTCATTACAAAACAAAAAAATTAGGTATATACCGGACTATATATCTTCTTCGCTCTTTTACCCTTTAAATCATATTCATATAAAAATTTTGTATAATATATCTAAAAAATGAGGTTAAAGGTATAATATGTTTATTGTTAAATTTGAGTGATACCTGATATAAATATTAACATAACACACATTACCTAAATGTATATATATATATATATATATATATATATATTAAAAAACCTGATTAGTGAACATTCATCTTAGGCAGTAAAATATATTGCATAGCAAACTAGAAATGAATTGCTCACCCATGCTAAACATGGCAGTGCCTGTGCCAGCTTTCGACATGATCAATATAGATCCTTCCATCATGGCGGGCATCTCGAAGTGCCACCTAAAATTATTCATAAAAGAAAAACATATTGTTAAACAAATAAATCAGGAAAAAAATAAAATAAAATAAAACCTTACTTTACAGACCTGTTAGATATAAAAGCCCAGACAAGGCCAATAATACAAGCGTATGAATTAGGATTCATGGCCAGTTTCACCCACACAGTCTTCATCAAACACCAGAAGGCAGGTCTAGAGCTTTCAGTGTTATCTACACTTCCCTCTAAATCCTTGTCAGAATTGTTGGATGAAAAACCAAGTCCTGTTCTTCGAAATTCTAATACGAGCAACAATAATGTGAGCCATATAATGGCTTGGATGACAGATGATTGAACAACAAGATCAACTCCCGCCGTGCCATACATGGCTTTAATTATAGGTACACCAACAACAAGAGAATTAGTTAATGTACAAAGAGAGAAACTGGTTATGGACCAGCTGTAGCTTCCCTTACTACTGCACTTAGCCCAAAAGGCAAGCACTGCCACTATAATGACCTTCGATACGGCATCAGCACCAATGAAAAGATAATTCATTTTGAAAGGATCAACATGAGCAGTGAACTCGAAGGTGAAGAGTGGCAGAGTGAAATAACAAACAAAGCGGTTTATAGCCCCGCACTGTTCAGGTGTAAATACCTTCCACCACCTGACAGAACCATAGCCTAACACTAATGCAACGTAGAGTGGTACCACGGCCACCACTACCTTGTAAACATCTTCCCACCCTATCATCTTTCTTTCTTTCTTTTCTCTTTCCAAGTAGCTAGCTACGTAGTGAGCACCTTGGAAAGGAAAAAAAAACCTGATTAAGCTTCTATGTTTTGGATCTCAAGCTAGCAAGCATACACGCACTATAAAAAGGATGTAGCTAGAATGTATTGAAGAGGTTGAAAAATAGCTTAATTGGTTATGTATTTATATCCATGCAAGGTCGATCTAAGCATTTTACAATAATTTTGTTTATTCCTTGTGGAAGAGATCAAAGCTTGGTGGGTGTATACGATTCTATGCCGTGGATTCTTGAGGCGTGACATAACCTTTTTTGTGTGTGCATGGAAGTGTGATGTTGCTTTCACAAATGGGCATTGAGTTATGGTTAGCAATTGTCTATAGAATAAGGAATGAGGTCCAGCGATTATTCCACCCACCTTCGGGAATAGGATTTGTGTTTTCGTGTAATTATATATTCATGCTTTATAAAATTATCATATATTCTTAGTGGTGCTTTCAGAGATAGAGGCCAGCATATAACTTCCATTCTTGCAACAATATTATTAAGATAGTGACACACAATAATCCAACATCTGCAGTACACAAAGTGGCATCCTTAAATCTGAGAAACACACAAAATAAAGCCAGTATTGCTAATTAAGGTTTATGGCACAGTAGACAACTTCGCATTAGCTAGAACTTGACCTCATACAATGCGAAGTTGAAGAACTCATGATTGTGGCACTTGCTCTAATATACATTGAGCAAGAGAATAATTAAGATGCATGGCTTAAACACAATGTCTGTTAGCCAGAACTTCATCAATGCGTACGTACGTGCTCGATCTATATATATGTTTTTATGAACTCCACTTATTATATTCCTCTTCAATAGTTACCTGTTGATGGGATGTGAAATACGATTTTTGTGGTAAGAATTGATTTCAGTTCGCTCGTTCTTTCGCTAGTGGCTGAGTTGATGGATTTTCTTGCATGTATACGACTGGACACCTTTAAGTCTGTATATTGGTTCGGAATACTTTTAATCTTCGAATAAGGAATATTGTTCCATATTCCGTCTAACCGTGTGTGTCTCGATGCGTGCGGTACAATCGATGCAAAAGAGAATTTTTATTTTATTTTATTTGAGTTAACCGTGTCTCTCCCAAATAGAGTATAGAATATGAACTATAGTATTAGAAGAATTTAATTACAACTTTACATATTAAACCTAGCTAGATTGATGTTCCTACTGGTCTTTTAAAAAAGGAAAGAGCAGAAATTGTGATATCCACGACCTCTTTTTTTACACTAGCTCCTTGTATACAATAGACTTGATTACTAATAGAAGTCCAGCGCTAGGAGGTTGGTATTATATTGTTAAAGATGTGGAATTAATTGTACAAGTAATTCATATTGAATAAAAGAAATTTTATGGGTTTAGAATTGGTTTTGCTTGGTAGTAGAAGCTAGTATTAGGATTAAGACTAATCCACTGCTTAGGACACAGATATATTCCTCTAATTATATGTGATTAAGCCCATTCTTCTTGTGTTGTACTTGCAATTAAGGTTCGAGGGTTTTCCAAAACTACACTGGTTTTAAAATTTTAATTATAGTAAAATTTCTTCTCTTCATTCATGGTTTTAGGCATAGTCCTTAAGAAGACCATTTTATGTTAATTATTATTTCTTTTTTGTTTGTTGTTATTGCATGTATACGGTGTCACGATGATCTTCCACCCTATCTCATCTCTTATTAGTAGAAGATTGGAATATGAATCGCCACCTAATATTCTGGTTACTAAGAAATCTAACTACACTTAGAAATAGGGTATGAAGACTAGTTGTGTAAATGAAAGGTATTATCACTCTATCTACACCCTATTTAAGGTAAACTATATTGTTTTATCTGATAAAATCTAAGGTCTGGTTATGGTGTCTAAAATTTATCAATCTATTTATAGTTTAAGAAAAATCCTTCCTTGTAAGGAGATTCTTATCTTATCGGGTAAAAACTTAACTGTTCTATGTCGTTAATAAATAAAAAAATATCTTTTTCATATCAGGAATATGTTTTATTTATAAATTTGTTATCCCTGATACTAAAACAAAATAAAATAAAATTTTTATTGTTTTTGCAATTTTGACTAACGTTCTCTTGACTTTAATAAACTGATTATTAAAGACAAAATGCATGCTAAAATATTATTTTTTAGTTTATGAAAAACACAATATAACATTTTTTTATCTTTGAGATACATGGACATATACATAAAAGTATTTTTTTATTTTTATTTTTTTATATTTTTTGGAAGTTTTGACAAAATATTGTTCGATATTTCTCAAAATGACATAAAAACTATGTGAGTTAAGCCCAAATATATGGGTTGGGCCAAACCTAACTCAACTATATGAGCCCAACCCACATTAGCTAGTTATTGTGCATGACACGACTAAAAGATTGATGTCTTCTCCCAAGTGCAAGAGTGTCGAACTAATAAATAATCCGGCAAGACCGGGGTCAAACCACAGGGATGTCTACCACTTGATGTACGTGACCACACTCTCATGCACATGTAGTAGTAGTAGTACTAATAATAACAACAATAATAATAATAATAAAGAAAGAGAAGAAGAAGAAGATGATGAGAACTTGGAGATGGAAAATTAATGTAAGGATTAAACAATAATAATAACAAATGTCAAAGTTAGAGGTTCTACTAATGGTATATCAAACAAGTATAGTATAAACTCTTATTATTCAATTGGAAACCACACACAAAGGAGGTTCCAATCAGATTATAGATTGTTAACATGATTACATTAGTCATCTTATTCGATTAATGCTAGTACTTGTAAATCTTGTCAAGCATTCATGATTATAACTTATGTTAATAACAAATCAAGTTCCTTTCATAGCTAAGGTGTCGGTTATACCATACAGTATGAACTATGAAAGTGCCAAGCATTTGTTGTACCAATTGTTATACAACATAAATCAAGATTAGTCATTTAACAAGCAAAGTATTAAAGAGTGAACAAGATAACAAATACAAAACATGTTAGTATTAAACATTAAAGTCCATATTAAGTTTACACTATACTTATTCTTACACCATTAGTGTCACCTTTTCACTTTGACATAATAAACTTAGCTAGACATAATGAAAGAAAGAAAAATAAATAAACAAAATAAGAATATAAATAAGATGAAAGTTAACTAAGTAAAGAAAAGGAAATTAAAGGCATAAACTTGATATTAATTAAAGCAAAGCATAAACATTACAAAAAAATACAAAGAGAGAAAGCAAGAGCATGATCTTGATCTAGAGACCAAGATGCCTAAATGCATGGCAAATGCCTCCTTTTATAGGCCAAAATTGGGAACTATTGATTTGATGACTAATTGATGAGTGGGTGGCCAACTCTTGACTTGGTGACAATCGTTATCTTCTCTTGTCTGCCCAAAACGTCATTGATAAAGTCAAAATTAGAGCCACTTGAAAATATGAAAGTTGTAGTCAATTGTCTTAGCTTTCTTGTGTAAAACATTCAGCTCATTTGGATTTCTATAACTCCAGATATGGCCAAAATACTGAATAGTGCTTGAGTTGGAGGACAGATTCGGGCTTTTTGTTGTTGCTACAATTTGGACTTGAAAATGGCCGGTTTAGATCTTGGGCTCCATATAAAAGTTGTAGGTCTAAGTTTTACCTTTCCATCCATATAAAGTAGACCTAAATCAGAGATCTATAGCTCCAGATATGACCCAATTACCGAACAGTGTTCCGATTTGGATTGCACCGACATCTTTTTTCTAAGTTTGACCATCTCTTTATCCTTTCAATTTCCGTTTTTCAAGTCATCAATCAATCCTTTCATTTATGTGATAGACCTACATTAAAAATAGACATTTACCACAAATTATAGGTATCGTATATTATTAGATACATTATTATAAAACATATTTTAGTTAAGGAGTTATTGATACTTCAAGTGCAAAATGATGATATAAAACCATGATAAAAATGCACTTTTAAGTACTAATCACACCCCCCAACCAGCTTATTACTAGTCCCTAGTAATCAAAGCGTTAAAATAGAAAAATAATTTACAAATTCCATAAAGCAAGGTATTCATCATTTAACTTCCATTAATCCATCTAGATAAACAAACTCTCATTAAATTTATATATCTGCTCAGTACCTCTTAACAAGATATTAGTAAACCTTTCTTTTGTGCTTAATATATCAACACATAATTATAGGGCTTTTCTTGGAAGAAAATAAAATTTTTGTTTTAATGTTTAAGGTTAACTTCCTTGGGTTGGGATAATTTGTTTTTTCTTCTTTTTTTTTCTTTTTTTTTTAAAAAATATATATACATATAAGTTAGAACACCATGCATCTTTAATCCATGTAACGAGCTTTCAGCTAATGACTCCCAGACCAGTTGGTCTTAGGGCATTAGGTGTTAAGACACCCCTACGAGCTTAGTAACTCGGGTCGCAGATACTAATATGTAGATAGTGCAATGTTTGATTTCCTTAAGCTTTTCTCCTCAACCCATGTAACAAGCGTTGGGCCAATAGCTCCCAAGTTAGTTGACTTTAGGGTATTAGGTGTTAAAACACCCCTTCAGGCTTAATTGCTTAGGTTAGGGAGGCTACGAAACCAAACTTATCTACATTTTTATTATTATCATTTTTTTTCTTTTTTTTTCTTTTTTTTTCTTTTTTTTCTTTTTTTTTTTAATTATATACAATCCATTTCCCTTAGTTGTTACCTTTAACAAAAGAACATAAATAATGTAATAATCCAATATGCAACCCACAATCATATGTTAAAGTGTGTGTGTGTGTGTAAATTAAGGTTTAAGAATACATGTTAAATAAGTAGATGAGCAGAATTAAGTGATAACAATGCGAGAGTTTGTAAACCTGAATATTTCAAGAAGTATTATAATAGACCTTGTTAAGAATGGTTACTAAGATGCGTCTCAAGAGTCACTTTAACAAAAGAGCTCCTTTACTCTGCCATCCTAGTAACAACAATTACGCACATGCTTTATGAAATGAAAAAAAAATTTTTTTTATCAACTACTACCCTCTCCCCCCAACCAAAATGAGACATTGTCCTCAATGTTCTAAGGTACAAAAATAGAGTATAAAAGATATCACCTGAAATAACGAA